GGGCCTTCTCTGTGGCTGCTCCGGCCCTCTGGAACGATCTCCCCACCACCCTTCCGGCTTTCCGCAAAGCACTTAAGACCTGGCTGTTCCGGCAAAACTGGGGCTGTTGAATTTTCCAGCCCCATCCGAGGTTATGACTGTTGTGGTTTTTTAAATGTGTTTGTCTTTTTATTTTTATTCTGTATCGCCCTCCCTTTTTGATTGTTAGCCACCCTGAGTCTCTCGGGAATAGGGCGGCATAAAAAGTGAATCAATCAATCAATCAATCAACATTGCCTGTCAGCAACTCATGTTCTCATGATGATTGGCTCATTAGTAGTAACTCAGATGATTACAAAGAAAAAACGTTGGATAAGGAGCCATCCCACACAGGCTGTTCTGTAAGATGTACCACTTTGAGATGGGTCATATTTGCCATGTGGGGGAACAGAACTTCTAAAAATGCATTAATAGGTTCCATCTGCTTCATAGGATTTTTTCATCTCAATGGTATTTTGAAAGTACTGGGATCCAATTAATTAGCAATCAATTAATTAAAGTAATTCCAAAGTGAAAAGGAAAAACATTATCAGCCCTAGAGTTGATGCAGTTATTTTTATTCCCATTGACACTACCACAAAAAGGAAAGGAACACCGTTTCTCCACTTTTTTTTCTCAGTTAGCTGCTAAACATAGGAAAAGTTAATTTTTTTTCTGTGCAGTTTTCCTATCATATTCTCAGAGTTTTGATACTCTCCCATGAAATATTCTTAACTGTAATTAGAATAGTGTATTGCATTGCTCTTTTTCTGCATGGAAATTAATAGCTGTCTGAGAAAGCTTCTCTTGGAAATAAGGCTCAGTACATTCAGTAACTTATATAGTATATTATTGCACACTGAGATGCCATTGTACTATGCAAAGAATTACAACCTAGGCTGCACTAAATAAAATATTTATTTCCAAACAAACATTCAGAAGATAATATTGCAAGTATTAGTGAACTCTTTGTATTTATGCCATGATTGAAATAATTATTACTTGCCCTTTATCTGAGCTGACACTTGCAGTAACCTTATATTACATCACAACACAATAATGTGGTTTGTTTGTTTTTGACTGGCCTTCTGCTGCTCTAACAAATTATAGTTTATTCACTAACCCCATAAACTCTCTGCTAAAATAGCAGGACCAAGTTAACTTATTAAATGGAACACAACATGTTGTGGTTTAGTGAGATTTGTAAATAGTGGTGTAAGGCATAGGGTTTTCCTGATTTCTTCCTGGTTATTTTTACCCAGAGATGGGTACCCTTTTTGTGCCTTAGATTAAATTACTCAGGAATTTGGGGTATATGAGTAGTGTGGAAACAGAAACAATCAAATTAGCTTCTCACTTTAGTTTTCTCTTCTTTTCTGTCTTACAAGTTGCAGGACACAGGGAATAGATAAATAGGTCTTATTAGCAATGTGATGCCTTTTAACAAAGTTTAGAAATGAGACTCAGGACTACAAGAAGTTAGCCTGAGGATCAGATATGTATTTATAGGTTGCCTGGTTCTCCACACGTGTGTGAAGAAAAAAATGTTAACATGGGGAGGGGCAAAAAGAGAATGATAACTTCCTTCAAGATTAGGAATTGTTTCTGACTTTTTCAATAAACTGTGGCTAAGGAACAATACTCATTGTTTAATGTGATTGTGGTGATCTCTATTACTCTTGAAGAAATTTCAGCACCTGCTTAATTGTATAAGGTACAGGTAAAGTTCCCCTCACACATATGTGCTAGTTGTTGCTGATTCTAAGGGGTGGTGGTGCTCATCTCAGTTCCAAAGCAAAAGAGCCAGTGCTGTCCACAGATGTCTCTGTGGTCAAGTGGCTAAACACTGAAGATGCACAGAATGCTGTTACCTTCCCACCGAAGATGGTCCCTATTTTTCTACTTGCATTTTTACGTGCTTTCAAACTGCTAGGTTGGCAGAAGCTGGGACAAGTAACAGGAGTTCACTCCATTACGTGGTGCTTAGGGATTCGAACCACCAAATTGCTGACCTTTCTGATCAACAAACTCACTGTCTTACCCAATGAGCCACCGCGTCCCACTTAATTGTATACTGATGTGTAAAGATCAGTCAAGAGAGGACATGGGCAATCAGTGCAAAGTCCACTTCCAGTTCCTTGCATGTTGCCAAAATTCCCCTAAGGTCTTTTCCAACCAAGGTACTCTCCAGAGATGTAGATGAGAAAATATTAGTTTAGAAGAAGATCCCCATAGGAAAGCTTCCTGCAATATCCTGCTTCTTTATTTTCCAAATTAATTCCAAATGCATACAGCCTAACCTTAATATTTCAAGATTGTATTCTTTGGTGTACAACTAATAAGCAATCCATAAAATGTTCATAAACTATGAATCAGTAGAAATGTCAGCAGTATTCTAAAAACATTAAAAGCAAGCAAGCAACTTAAAACTAGAGCTTTTTGATATGACAGGAATTGTTTTTTTTTTACTAATTTTTATATCACTTGAAATAAGCAATGAAAATCCACTAATTTATATGAGCAAATCTGCTATATAAGCCCTTTCCCCATTTATTCAGAGGAAATTAAACAACTTTATAACTAAAGCTATGTAGTTAGTTTCCTCAGAACAAAACTATCCCTCCACTATTATTAATGAAGTAACAGGGACTATGTCATTCATTTTCTTTGGTTTTATTGCTTTTCTAAATGTGAATAAAACAAAGACTCCTCAAAACACTTAAATAATTGGAAAATAAACTATCACTACAACAGATATGTTGTAATCACACTTTTGTTCCTGACAGTACAATACACAACTCAATATCTCAAGCACCAGCAGAGTTGAGGTTTCACTTTGAAGTCTCAAAGGGACTTTTTAAAAAAAAAAGAAAAGGAGAGTCCTTTCACTCATTATCTGATCCTGGATTACTGTTTGAACATCTTGACTTCATATTGATCAAAAAATACCTCTAAAACTCAGCTGTAAGATTGAAACAATAAAATGAGTGAAATTCCCATAGAAATGTACAATATTTAAATAAGTGATTCTGAAAGGGGAAAGAAACATCTTCTTCACATCAATACTTTAGCTGCCTTCAAATTAAATTAGGATAAAAATCAAAATCCAGAGAACTGGCAGCTATAGGACATATTCAGTGATACTCAAGAGATGGGGGGGGGAGGAAATTACCCAGGACTCTGTCTTCCAACTGGAGGTCAGCATCATCAAAGAACAAAAATATACCTTGCATTATATGAATACATATTTTCCAATGGATCACCATGAGCATTTGAGCATGTCTTCAATCTGAAAAGGATCAACTTGCTTTCCTGGGCTATTTGCAGTGCTTTTTGTGGGAGATGCATTTCCATAAATAAGCTTTTCCTCCACTTAATAACACACAAACAGAGAAGGTTGACACATCCAACCCAAAGGGGGGGGGGGTGGAAGAGGGAAGCAATTGGGCATATCTATTTGACAATGGCAGCCGCTCAACAAACATCTCCCTCCCCTTCCAAGGCAAGCAATCCTGAGACCAGCAGAACACTTGAGCCTTTGCTCCTCTTGAGCTGGCTGGAGTATCTCTGCAGTTGAGCAGCAGTTTAGCTGAAGCTTGGAACCGGTTCCTGCTGTTGCCGGTAAATAGGTTGCCAAAAGAAGATGCTATCAAAAGGTAGAAGGGAGGGTGGAGCACACCGGACTTGCCCGCTGCCTCGCTTTAGGGACATCCTTTGCCTCCGAGAAGTTGATCGTACTTAGAAGGTCATGCCTGCAATCGCCCGCGCACCTACACCCGCCCCAACACACACACACACACACACACACACACACACACACACACACACACACACACACACTGCCTTTTGCATGCAATCGGGATCGGTCCCCATTATTGCCAGCAAGTGGCAGAGGAGACCCCGGTGAAGAGTTTGCAACGCCCAGGGAGCGTCAGGTGGATTAGCCCTTCCGCTGCATTACGCCTGGGCAAGTCCACCCCCAAAGAAGGACCGGCTTGAATTAACTCCACAACCGGGGGGGGGGGGGGGAGAGAACAGAACCGAGAGGTTTCTTTCCGCAACGCTCTCAGCTGACGGGAAGGGAAAAGATCCCAAGCCAGCGACGCCTCGGCGAAGGGCAGCATTGCTACTCACCAGCTGCAGCGTGCAAAGGAAGATCAACGTGCAGCGCCCAGTGCAGCATCCCATGGTAAAAGCTCGCCGGAGCCGGGGGCGCCGTTTCCCCCGTTTCTGCAGTTCCCTCCGAGTCCTAGCCAGGCACAGCTCTCACCACATCCGAATAGACGCCCCCCACCTCTCCCTTCCCCGCTGCTCTCGCCTCGTGCGTCGGTTAAATCCCTTTGTTTAGAAGCGGGGAGGGGGACTCTCCTTCGCCTCGGCCCCGGGGAAGGAGATCAGAACAGCTTGGCAGCGGAGCGAGACATCCAGCGCTTGCTAGTGCCCCTCAGTTAGAGGGGGAGGCTGAGGGTGGGCGTGTGGCTAGAGGGGGGAGCGGGTGGGTGGGGAGTGCGCGCGTGTGTCTCGGTGTGGTGTCAGGCGAACCTATGAATGAGACTTGTGAATGGTGAAACCGGCGAGCGGGAGGGCGGGATTTCGGAATTGTCAATGGCCGAAGAAAGGAAACGTGAATGCTTCTGCAGGGACCTTCGGCCGGGAACCGGACTGCGAAGAGCCGGCAGGTGTTCCCGTGGGAAAAGCGAAAAGTAAAGGGGCGGTGGGTTTAGGGCGCCTTCGCTTTCAGCGACAAAAGTAGAGACGCGTCCCGGTGCCCCGGGAGGCGGATAGGCTGCGCGAAAGGGGGGCTATTGTTGAGAGGAGGCGCGGAAGGAGCGACGAGACAGTCCACCCGAGGCGTGGCTAGAGGGAGGGGCTTCTTCCGACGGCTCGCCCAACACTGGAGGAAAGTGAACGGCGGTGGGAGGGGGGGGCGTCTTGGAAGCAGCGCGTCCGCCCAATTGCGAAGTGGGTGCCTGAGAGTTAAAGGACGAAGGATCCGAAGAAGGCAAAAGTGTACCCCGAAAGACCGTGAGAGATCGCTGCGAGTCTCCGGCGGAAAGCTGAGCCCCAAACTAATATATTGAACTCAACTCGCGTTTAACTACTAAGCCAACCGCAGCTATGAGCCAGTGAAAACAAGTGATTGTTCTACTGGGAACTAAACTAAAGCGATCCACTAAAGGAGCAGCGCTTTCCAGGAGACAAGCTTTCTGAGAGTTATTCTCCACCGGATTGAACTACCGTGAACATTTAAAGAAAAAGATTTAAAGAAATTAGCGCGCGTCCCATTTATTTCCTACCGTATTTGCTTACGGCAAACCAAAGAGTATCCTATGCAGGCTAGGGTGGTATACAAGCCTTTGCTATGCACTCCGTATAGACACTTCCTTAGAACAAAATATACTCACCTGGTAAGAGAATAACAAGAAATATGTCCTTATTTTCTTACAGTCCTACTATTTGTCTGGTTTTAGGGAAATAACGAAATTTCCACAAAGAAATTGAAAGTCACAACTGCATTAAATGTGAAATCACAGGTGTTCCTTAGCATAACTTTGGAAAGAAATATCGAGGCAATGAGCAAAGTGTAGATTTCATCTTGCTGTCTCAAAGCTGCAAAGAAAGGAAAACAAAACAAACGTTCAATTTTGAATGTTGCTTGAACATTTTGACCCCATATTGATCTAAAATACAGCTGTCAAGCCAAAACAATAGAAAGAGTGTGATTTCTACAAAATGTGTACTACTCTACTTAAATAACCAATTGAAGCACATTGTAGAAGAGGAGGAAATATTTTTATCATATCACATGGATACTTCAGTCGGACTTTGTAGTTAGCAATAGCAATAGCAATAGCAGTTAGACTTATATACCGCTTCATAGCGCTTTCAGCCCTCTCTAAGCGGTTTACAGAGTCATCATATTGCGCCCAACAATCCGGGTCCTCATTTTGCCCACCTCG